CCAAGAGCATTCTTCTTCCTCCTCCTCCTCCTCCTCCTCCTCCACATTTTTGTTCATTATACAAACAACAGGTTATGTATGGAGACAAAAACAATGGCTTACAGCTGAAAAATCCTAGAAAACATGAACAATCTGTTGTAATATTGATTCAGTCTTCCCTTGGTTTACAGTTTTATCTTACAGAAACTATTTTCTAGTCTTTGCCTTGTTTCAGGACATTTGTGGCTGCTTTGAAGTGTTTTTGGTGTTCTTGTGTGAATTAATTCTGTTAAGCATGACTGGAGAAAGGAAGATTCAATTAATGCTTAAGTAAAATCCTGCCCTTAACTGAAATGTGGTTGTTTATTTGCACACTCTCAAGATTTTAAAATGCTTCATCTGATACAGAAGTTGTACACCACTCATTTAAATTACCTTACAGAAGTAATGAAAGTGGTTATTGGTTGCAAAATTCTTTTTTCATAGCAAAAGTTCAGTGACATTGGGAAAGAAAGTAAAATTTGCAGATCTGAAATATGATGCTTCTGTATGCCTGGCTTAAATTTGGGGAAAGATCCCCTTATGCTAAACCAATCAACTCACTTTGATTTAAACAATGGTTCCTCCCTTTAATGCAAACCAGGTTCCACTATGTACTATATAGCAGGCTAGAAAGTCATGAAGCTACAGGAAAAGTAGAAAGGCTCCCAATCCACTTCTATGCTATATCTGATCTATCCAATGTTATACTGTCACTTTTTGCACTAGGAACTTTAAAAAAAACCATATTGTCCCTTGTTTCTTAAGTCAGAGATAGGCAATGTAGAATTTATGGGCCCAGGACTTACTGTCCACCAGACCTGTCTCATTTGATTTTTAAAGAGACTCTTTTCAAAATGAAAGATATTAAAAGAAAGTAGCCAAACTGCAAAGCAAAGCACCAGTAGCATCATATTTATTTATTGGTATGTCTTGAGAAGTTTTTACTGAAGCCCCTTTGAAATTCTAGGTAGCATCTGAAAGACTAAGCCACCTTTAGTGATTCACCTTGTCCATGAATAGTAGCTGTGTTGTTCATTAGCAAATTCCCATGACAACTCTGCATCTAACACAAAGTCTCAAAATTCCAAATGTGTTCCAAAGATTAGCATACCCCTGTACTTGGTGGCAGCAGTCTTAAATAAAGATAATCAACGTTTCATCAGTCAAAGACTGCAGAATATGATTACAACACAACACTGAAATATGTACACTTCAGTAGCTAAGGGTTCCAAAGCAGTGATATTAGAAAACAATGTGGAGTTGTGTTCTGTTGCTAGAAAATAGGCATTGGGCTACAAAACCAGTATTTCCCACCCTAGAATTTTATTTGATTTAGCACAGTTGCATCAGAATTACATTTCTTTGTTCATCAGATTGTAGTGGTTTTTCTGTTATGATTGGCACTTCATTGTCATCTGAATTTTCCTGAGGATGGGGTAATCTAAAAACTGCTCTTCAACTCATAAAGTTGTGTAACACCTTGTATGATTTGCTGAAGAAATAACAATCACATCATGCCAGAAAAGGGGTGGGGGGACTATTGAAATTCTTTTGCCTATGTAAGATATATTATGTAAACTATATACAGTGAATCCCCTCTTCCTCCTCTTTCTAAAATTTACCCAGGGTTCTTGAAAACTTTTATTAACTTGAGCACAACCATGACTTTTTTCCATTTGAATTAACATATTCATACATACCTTCCCAATAAAGCTAGCCAATAGCTAATTGCTTTCAAACATGGCTACAAGTAGAACATTCATTCTGTAACTTACTAGAGGAAATTAATATTTTAAATGGTCCCTGATTGACAATTTAGTTGATTTACTTCTTTGAGCACTTCAAGCCACGGTATCCAAAGTACTCTTCTTGAGCCAGCTGCTGCCTGGAGTTAGTGTGGTATAGTTTGGCAATTGTCCATGGGTAGGCAGATGGAGTCAAGCCAGCATGATTTTCTTTTAGAATTGGTCAAGCGAATGTGTTACTCATTGCTCCAGCTGTACACCTGCCGCTAGTCTATAAGCCATTTGAATTGTTTGCCTCTAGTTCTGGATCCTCCACTATATGTGGATATTAAATGAGATCCTGTTCTAATGAAATCCCAGATGCTAACTCATTCAATTTCTTTGATTCCACAAACAGGGGGGGGGGGATAAATAACCTGGAAGATAATGTGATGTGATATGATGTTAGCATTCACCTCCATCAATAATCAGAGCAAAAACAAATGCCATGCCTTTTTTCACCTCCACTCTCTATCATTGCAGCTGAAGACTTTGCTGACAGAATAGAAGCTTTCATTACTGATCATCATAATATCAAAGGTGAATGGAAAACAAGTGAAAGTAAACAGCTTGAGAAAGGCCAAGAAGCAAGGACTTTGTCAGCAATTAAGTATGTTAATACCAGCAAGGTCCATGGTAAGTATAGTATAATTAGATGGGTGTCAAAGAGTTCTGCTCCAAGCTGTCAGCTTTTATGTGAAACTATTTTCCAAAGCAGTCACTGCATATCAACCTAAAAAGAGAGAGTTTGAACACAGCACAAAGATAACTTTTAAAGAAAGTTTGTACAATGAATAGAGCAGACAATCAAAAGGCAAACAATCAGCTGTGGCTACGGTTCTTAAAAAGTTATTTGAGAAGATTCAATGTTGATGTTATGTCTCAGCTCCACTTGGGATGTGCCCATCTTGTTAGATCAATTATATCTACTAACTAACAAAATATAAAATATCCAGAATAGAACTCAATTAGGAAAAATAAATTGCATTAGACTCTGAGCATTACGGAGATCTGGTTGGGCCATGAGGGGGGTGTTCCCCTTAGTGAATTATGCCCACCAGGCTTCTGGGCGTTTCACCAGCTGAGAGCCCAGGGCAGGGGCGGAGGGGGTGGCAGTGGTTATTAGGGAAAGTCTCGGACCTCAAGAGGTCACTGTGCCTCAGAGAGGTGGGTGTGAGTCCCTTTTTGTGAAATGGGGCCTTGGAGTTCAGGTAGGCCTTTTTGTTACGTACCTGTCTCCCTGCTACATTTCACCGGCNATGTATCTAAAAAAAAAAGAAAGGAAGGGTTTTTCAATGAAAATTTGCTGAATAAGAAAAGTGTATAATATAATTTGAACTGAATTGAAAATAAGATAAATACTGGTCTGGCATTAATCGAAGCATATTCTGAATGTGTATGTGTGTGTTCATTTGTCTTATTTACACAGGATAAGCACAAATAAGGTAGATCATATGGCATGATAACCAGACAATTTGCCCAAAATGTGTTTTGCTTATGAATATCCACATATTTTTATTTTTGTAGCACGGAAACTATAATGTGCTTATCATGATAAGTTGTCTAAACAATAGAGATTTTCAGTATGCTGTATTCTATATCATGTAACACTATCCACCTTTCTGCAATATGACTATGCATATAAAGGACATTTAATGCCTTCACCGAGGGACATGAGAAAATGAAGACATGACACATAAGTAGCAATTTACTGAATCTAACATTCATTTGCAGTCTCCTCTGGTCATCCTGATCCTGAGATGGGAACTTATTGAAACACAGGGAAGACAGAAAGGCTAAGACCTAATCTGTTAGTAGAACATTGATGTAGTCCAATATTATTTAGCTAGTTAACTTAAACATTAGTAATGATGCTTTGATATTATCCTTCCCTCTTTTATTAAAATGTATTTCTGAATACATTGTAAAGTTTTCCTCTAGAGTCTTTCAAAGCCTTTCCAAACTTTAAACATGATAGCTTTACATTATCCTTGTTTTTAATTGTTGCTTCTGTTAAATACAAGTTTATTATTTCTTCAGTAAATCAATAAAAGTTGTTAAACAACTTTATGAGATGAACAGCACTTTTTAGATTAACCCCATCCTCAAGGAAAAAAATGCCCAGAGAATCCTAAACTAGTGTTACAGAGGAAGTTCAATAAATCGTTTGCTTCGTTATGCATAAAATAATTTATGAATGCTCCTGAGGATGTAATCGCCTGCCTCCCTGGTTTTTCTATTCATGTATACCTGACTATTAACCTTCAATGTAGAAAACAATTAAATGAACTATCCAAGAGCATTCTTCTTCCTCCTCCTCCTCCTCCTCCTCCTCCTCCTCCTCCTCCTCCTC